ACTAACTACATTGAACATCCATTTTAAGGAAAACTATTTTTTGCACAGGTGTTCAAGCCTCACTATGGAACATTGAAATGTTCACAAGACATGCTATAAAGAAAAAGCATGTCCATTCAATATTGAGCTGATGCTAATACAACCCAGGTGCAGTCAAATGGAAAATCAGGACTAAAAGCCCTGTTTGAGAAAACATGACTTCAAAACGCAAGCTTGTCTTTGAGGGAAATATGAAATCATCTGGAAAGTTGTATCTTTTATGAGCCGGTGCCTAATAAACCAATTTCCAATTATCATATAATCAATTTCAAAGATGAGCTATAATCAGGTAAAAATCGTATAACCAATTTCAAAGATGAGCTATTATCAGGTAAAAATAAAATAACACATTTTTTATTGAATCTTGACTTATGAAAAGTATAAATGGGTAAAAGGTATCAACTTCATACAATTTCGATTACTAATTATCATAATAAACAGTTAGATTCTATGAATAAACATAAGAAAGAAAGAAAAATAAATAACCCAGAATTCTGACACCTGGAAAACAATTCAATCACAACTGTCAGCCCACGTGATAAGAATACTCTAAAAACACACAGACGCACATAACAAAATCCAATATGTGTGTGAGAGACTGACCACTTCAATTGACTTCCTTCGCCTCAACTTCATATTGGAATCAGCCAATTCACACCATTGCCAATTCAGAAGAAACAAGCGGAGAATCGACCGATTCTACGGCCCGAACCGATCGATGATTGGGCGTCAAGTAAAGGGGCGCGGGCTCGAACGATCGGAGCGGGTTGCCGACCGGGCGGTGGTGAGCTGTGATTGAGAAGAGATGGAATTTGAATGAGAGAAGGAGGTTTTGTAAAGATCGTGGCCTTCTAGGGTTTTCGGCAGAGGTTTTTGCTAAGGATTGGCAAATGGCGATCACGCAGAGATAGAATTAGAGAGAGAGAGATAGAGAGAGTGAGAAAGAAGGAATGAAATCCTTCGCATAGCTGGGAAGTGTATGATATATTTGTAGAGAAAAAAAAAAAAAAAAGTTACAAAATAGAAAATAATTAATAAATTTAATAAATATCAGGGTATAAATTTAACTATTCCTATACTACCGACCTTCTTCTGTGTTTTCAGTGTTTATATATCAATGATGGAAATTAAAACAATGAAAACTACTCATTACAATTAAAGAAAAAATACTCATTTTAACATAAAATATCTTCAAAGAAAATTACTCAGAATATATTTTCTAAATTATTATCTCATTCTTCATTCTATCTTTCTTTCTCCCCCTTTGAGTGGTATCAAACGGGAGGACTAACCCGTCATTTGATTGTTATTATTTGAACTGAATTAGATTAGTCTTATCTTATTAAAATATGAGCATGATCGAAATTGACTACTAAATAAAAATTTTGATTAGGCCTGACCCGTAGAGAATGAAAATGTACCTGAAGCCTGGGATCCGACTGACGGGAAGGGAAGAGCGAAAGGCTTAGAACTTTTTTTCAAGGTCTAAAAATTTAAAAAAAAAAATCTTTATTTTTTTAGTTTAAACTTAATACATTTATCAATTGTCAAATAAAATATAAATTAAATTGTAGTATACAAAACAATAAAAATCTTGGTCTAATCACAACCCAAAAAAATAAAATAATAATAATTTCTTTAATTTATAGTTATTACATTTGTGATTAAATATGAATAAAGCTACGAAAAACAAAACAATAAAAATCTTGCCTCGTCCAAACCCGCATCTCAGAAAATAGTAATTCTTTTCAATTTTTTAATTCATAATTATTATATTTATCAATTTATATATTTATTGTTATTAGAATAAGTTACAAGTTACAAGTTAAAAATTATTTATTTACATTTTTTATTATAATAATAATTAGTCTTTATAACTATTATTATAAAATTTAGGTTATAATTTATTTTTAATATAAATCATTATTATCATTAAAATAATTAATATAAAATATTTTATAAAAAATACCTTTGTAATAGATTTATATTCATGTTTTTTAAAAATAAGCTAAATATTGAAAAGAAAATACAATTTTTTTGGCCATAAATTATTCATACAATGTCTAAATGGGATTATTCAAGTGTCATTAGAAAGCTAAGGAAGTTCTCTACAACTTTCATGTTGAACACTTTGGGAGATTCTGGATGCATTGATACCAAAAAATCAGGACACTTGGATGCATCATGAAGAATCTGTCATGCAACATGCTGATAGTGTTTTGATCATATATATCTATCATATACAATGTCCAATTGAAGTGATTCAAGTGACTATGGAAATTTAAGAGAGTGTCTTACAACTTTCATGTTCAATTTTTTCAAATTCAAAGTGAAACACATTCAAAATCTAGCATGAAATCTGATGTGCTAGGCGACACGGAGGCCGGTGACATGCCCCATGTCACCTGGGCGTCTTTTCTTGCATATATTATTATTTAATCACTCCTAGAAGATAGTAATTTTTAATTTCAAAACATAAGTCTTTTAATTTCCTAGGACGAGTGGAGAAAAACATATATATATATATATATATATATATATATATATATATATATATATATATATCGAATTGATATCGAATAATGAGTGCAAAAAGTATATTGGATTGATAGAACCCAATACCCTTAAAATAATACAAATGGGCTACAAGTGTACTAAATAAATAAAATAGATAAATTTGGCCCAAAGGGCCCAACCACAAGGAGTAGACTACTACTGCTAATTAGCATACTACAAAGACAACTTATATATTGCGTCGTTGAATGAGGGATAAGTCAAGAGAGAAGAAGAGCTTATGATGATCCTCCTTTGTATTTATTGTCTCTGTCTTTACTTTACCCTATATTGTTATGTCTTACTTTCCTGAGATGTGAACGATAATGATGGTCTGAACGAGACACCCCCGCCTTTTATACTACTCCAGGGTCGTATGTGGTGGACATGTGCACGGATCACAATGCTCCGTCTTCCTCTGCCATACACATGTTGCCCCAGGTGTTAAGTTCTCCCGCCAAACATTTTATTGTGCGCCATGTCACAGAGCATGTTCGGGTCATTGTCAACAGCCCAAAGATTAAGCACATAACCCCACCCTGCTACCCAACCGCAGGGCTCGTCTGAGCAACCCATCCCCTACAATGAATAGCCTTCCACTCACCCAGGTGATCCGTCATAGTTGGTCGAACTAAGACTGACCCTTCGATCGCTGACAGATGACCAAGGCGAGCCAATGAGAGGCGAAAAGGCACCATGACCACGGACTCGAGAGTGGTTCGCTCTAGTCTGCTAGGTTCCCATGGGGTATGTCACTCACCGGTAGATCAAACCAAAATCTATTGTCGAGGTTGCTGACCTTGGCCGATCGCTCTTCCCTGTCGTTCGTTCTCCAGGAATAAGTTTCATACCACACTGTCAAACGCGCCCTTAGTCCTCTTTCAAACCAAAAAAAAACCTACATATACTTTCTTAATTGGATTTCCCTTGGTCAAACTCACTCTCACTTTAATTACTCTTTGGGCCGTACTTTAGAGCCATCAAATAATTTTAAGAAAAATATTCTCTTAAATAATTTTAATTCAACTAATACTATATTTATGAAACTTAGGGTTGGGGTTCAGCCTTTTGAAAGAATGTAATTCATTGAGTTAAATCCTGATAGTGAATTAGTGATAATTAGAGACTATTTATTGATTATTGATTACTATATTAAAAAACAGTAATAATGTTGTTCAAGAAGTGATCGTACGTTTCCTTTAATGGGATTTTCTGTATTTTCTCTATCAATATCAATGTTCCTCTCCATTATTGGAGCACTGTTTTGCCGCCATCGTCTCAAGTTAGCTGACTTCCTAGTTAAGCTCTGTTTGCCTGTTTAGCAATTACCATTAGCTTTTCAATAAAATAATGAAGTTTTCTAAAGGCTGCCCTGCCAACTCTACTTTATTGTCACTTTGTAAAATAAACATTGGGAGGAAAAACGAGTAGTAAAGAAAGAAAAGCGATGCACATACTTTTTAAGGAAAATACTACGTCTACTTCCCCTTTACACTAGGATCAAAAAATAACCTATCAGAGTCTATCATATCAAGGGGTAATTTTGAAGGAGTAAGATTTGAGAATACATACAATAAAATTCTACTTTTTTTTTCCTATCTCTCATCTCTCTCTTATTTAACAAAAACGTTTGATTGATGTGATTGGTTTAATACTTTTATAAAAACAATTACAAAGAATAACTTACTTTTGAAATTATTGTTTTGGTTTTGTTGCGTTTAAAAAGTGGGATTAAAAGTAAATAAGAAAGAAAACATATTATTCCTTCCTTGGAGGGCAATATGCATGGAACTTAGTATACTAGAGTCGGACATGCATCTTGACTTAATCCAAGTCTGCGGGTGGGTCCCAAGCTTCCCCAGTAAGTGGCTTCACAACAAAGAAATATGGGAAAGTAATATATGCACACAACCAAAAAGCTTTCCACAATGGAAATTCCAAGAATCAGCCTACACATAACACATGGGTGCAGGTGATAGATGATCTCAAAAAGTATCAACAATTTAAATTCCAATAAAAGTTTTTTTTTTTTTTAAAAAGAAAATTCCAATAAGCTATTCACAATTCTCCAGAGTATTGTGTCACTAACAATATTAATTCACTACTTTCTGCATAAATGGTCCTTATAGGTTGACTCTTTTTCAACTGGAATAAAAATTTATCCCTTTATAGCAAAGGTTGACTGTCCGCCGTTCATTTTCAACTGAAAGGACCATTTAAGCTATAAAAAAAAAAAAAAAAAAATAGTCATGAGCCGACCAATTATAAGTTTTGAAAAGAGGGGATCAACAATGTTAATGACACAATACTCGTAGACCAAAAGTATGAAAAACTCACTTAACTTCACAGCACAAAAAGTTTATGAACAATATAGAGCCAAAAAACAGAGCTTTTGGTGCAGCAAAAGATGAGAGAAATGACTTGGTCATATGCCTAAATTTCCACAAGAATGACTTAACTTTGAACTAATTGTACAAAGCATCAAATTTTACAAAACTTTCAGCTAATTGTACAAAACATAGCCTCAGTTGGGCCCGATTCGAGGCGGCTCTCCCAAAAGTGTTGCTACATATGCATAATGCATGGCTCCGAATCCTCGACTATATGTTTAAGCAGCTCAAACCCCTTCCACTTAAGCCAATACCTTTCGGTAAATTTTACAAAACTTTCAACTAATTGTACAACCAAAGGGCCGGCCCCGTTGCAGTTCTCCCCTCCAGCAGGCGATTGGAACCATGAACTAAATCAGTCCATACCTTAAAGGACGATGACCTAATATAGCAATACCTGTCACGGGGAAAAAATCGACTAGTAGTTCCTTTTTTTGAAAGAGGATATATATATACAGTAAGGTAGAATGCATTGCAATCTTCAGTCGTCCTCATCCGTGATCTCAAACGCCAAACTTCTCGTAAGAGAAACTCCAGGACTTCTGTTACTTGAATTAAGCCCGAGATTATTTGCAGCAGTTAGAAGGCGCTTCCCAACTTCGGCTTTCTTAACCTTTCTCGAGGGTACAGAAACAGATTCGTTAGTCAGAAGAACATTCAGCATTTTCGACGGTGTTTTGGCTCTAAATGGAGGAGGCGTACAAACACCAAAGTTCATACGGCAGTCATCTGTTCTAACAATCCGTTTTTCCTTTTGTTCACCCCTAACTGTCGAATAAGAAAACCCCGAACCCGAGTTCACCTCATCGTAACCACAGAAATCATCATAACATGAGAAATACTTCCGGATAATGCCCGAGACTGACATGGATTCCGATAATGTCTCATGATGACTCTCCACTGCTCGGCTATAATTTCCCTCTTTACTTGACTTGTCCTTAGCACCCGATATAGCAATATCATACTTTTTCCGAACTCTTTTCTTTTTAATCTTTTGCCTCTCCGAAAAGTAGAGCCTTCGTCGAATACCTAAGAGTGAAATTCCAAATCCGGCAAACCTTTTGATCTTCCTCCTCCTGCATTTTGACTTAATCTTAATTGTGCTCGAAAGAAAATTCTTGGGTTCTTTTGAACCAGCACCACCATTAACGTCAGTTGAACAATCCTTAATCTTTTCACGTACCGGTGCCCCTAACTTGTCAGGAACGCTAGAATGGCATACTTTAACTCGAAGAAACCAATTTCCTTTCAAGTACTGAAAAGCATACCTTAAAGGTAATGTATCAGATAAGTGGTAAAAGAACGATTTCCTCTGAACCTGTCACAAACACATGTTATATAGGCATAAGCATTCAACATAAATAAGCATCGGATTTGAGACAATGAAGTTACACACCTTGGTATACTAGTAAATTATAAATAATCGGGTAAAAACAACAAAGGAAACGGTCCAGAACTTCAAAACGTACCATCAAACCATTCACCTTGATATCCCCAAGTTTTGGGAAACAATTCAAGTGCGCCCTCTCAAATACTCCTAGGAAACAACAGAACATACTTATTAAACCTCCAAAAGCAGAAACCACATTTCACAACATATTTCGAGCAACAATGTATCTATTAATCAGTTAATCTCTCTTTGAAGCATCACAAGTCTAGAAACCCTACAATTTGCTTCAAGCAAAGAGCAAAGCATTCTCTCAATTTCTCTGGTAATTGTGCACATTGAAGCCAAGAACTACATAAACTAAAATTATAGAAAAAAACAAAAACAAAAAATTAAAGAGATTAACTCTTGATAGTTGAACACTACTCCCACTATGGCACTTTCTGGGACTAGACTTAAATGTGGCATAGAAATGAAAGAAACCTCCAGATATATTAACAATATATATATTAGGAAAACTCAGAAAATCCCAAAAATTAATAAAGGTGTGATCTTTATCGCACATTTTTTAAACTATTGGGACTAAACAGCATAAAAACATAGATGCGAATAAAGGAAGAGTAAAAACAGATGAGAGAGAAGAATGTGGAGTAGTACTCACTCTTGAATTCCCTTGCCGTAGCGTCTGGAGAGATTGGCACTGCAAGGCGGGTGCCCAGATCGGTCTCCGTGAATATCGGGCTTTCGATACTGGAAGATTCCATGGGATTCCACACTGGGGAATTCTTGTTCTCAATTGGAAAAAGTTTAAACACAAGTGGGAGGAGTGCTGGGAATTGGGAGGGCCTAACCAATAAAGTTGCAAGAATTGATAGAGATAACCCTTGTGCGGTGTGCCTCAACCGAGGTAAATCAATGCTCCTCCTCTGCACTCATATTTGTAGCAGAGACGAACTCTCCAAACGGCATGAGAAGGACAGCCCCATACGAAGATAATGTTGATATTGACTCTTTGTATTTCAGTATATTAAAAAAAATAGTTATAAATAAATACGGAGTAATTTTTTAATGTGATATAAAATTGGGATTGAATTTTAAAAATGGGTTGGAGTTGTTAGTGTTGTGATTGATTAACTCGTTGGCTCATTAGCTCCTAATCGGTGAGAGTTGCAAAATAATATAATGATAAAAGTAAATAATCTTAGAACAAAGAGATAGGGGAGAAGGGAGAGTTCTTCATTCCATTTCACTAGGCTCTTTTACAAAGGAGCTACAACATATATATAATAATCAACTATAACGGAAAACATTTTCAAAAAAAAAAAAAAAACTATAATGGAAAGCATAATGGGGACATAAATATGTCTGTTACATAATAATGTCCACTAAGTATATATATTTATAATCACTCTCCCTTGGACATTATTTAGCCAGAATCTTGCTTTGTCAAAAACTTGCTAGGAAAACCTTGTGGGAAAAACCTAAACAAGAAAAGAGTACAAGGTATACCGATAGTATATTTAAATACATTCATGCCTCGTTAAAAACTTCACTAGGAAAACCACGTGGGAAAAACCTAGTTGAAGAAAATAGTAAATGATATTTGTAAACTCATATATTGTATTTATTGCCTCGTTAAAAATCTTAACTTAAATAAAATTAAACCTCGTGGGAAAAACATAGTTAAGGGAAAAAGAATACAATCATAAGCCTTCGAGGCATAATCTTCAGGATTTTGGAGTTTGCCTATTTAAGCATTTATATACAACTCCCCCCATTAATATATCATACTCATACCTCGTTAAAAACCACACTAGAAAAGCCATTGGGAAAAATCTAGTGAGGAAAAGAGTACATGGTATGTATATGCTGCAAAAAGTATAATTATTAGTCCTTTTAAGACGCAATCTACAGGATTGATTCGAGTGAATATATACGCTGCAAAAGTGCAACTATTAGTCTTTTTAAGACCCAATCTACAGGATTGACTCGAGTGAATATATACGTTGCAAAAGTGCAACTATTAGTCTTTTTAAGACCCAATCTACAGGATTAACCAATCTACAAGATTGACTCGAGTGAATGTACTTCCCGTCTCCCCCTGAAGATAACAATCTTCAAATTCTACATTGCTTAAAGTAAAATCATTCTTTCAAAAGGATGTAGAGAAGAGATATGGTACAATCTTCAGGATTGTCATTAGAATTTATCATATTTTCTCATCATGATCATCTGGACCAAATAAAATTATTTATATTTTGTCGCTCCCCCTAAATAATTTTCTTTACCCACGCATATCAATTTCATAGATATTTTGTAGGTATACATTTGCTAACTTGTCACTGGAACAAATCTTCTGGACAAATATTTTATCACTCTTCTAGAGTTCATGTGGATCAAGGTATTTTATATCATGAAAAACTATATAAGTTTTTATTTGTCCCAAGTATGATGACTTCATGTCAAAAAAAGCATCAATATGAATATTTGTACCTTGATTTGTTATTCCTTAGCTCATCTCATAACTTAGCAGTCACTATGACAAAGCGAGAAAGTAATAACGAGATGATAATATACAAAATACATCTATAAGAACAAGTATTATCCCTCCTTAAGCTTTAAGATGCTTAAAGCTTAAATTGATTTATAATATATCAATCCAAGTCATGGCGTTTAACATAATGTCAATATTAATAGGTTTAGCAAGTTTAAACAAATTTTGTGTCATATCGTGGCGACACTGAACTCCGTTAACAAAAATGTCTATCGTGTGAATTTGAACCATGTTAACAAAACATGTCTATTGTGTCAATCCGTTTACAAATATTCGTGTTAAAAATTTCAACCCGCTAACCTCAACGTGTCATATTTGTGTTTAGTTTTATTGTGTCGTTATTATGTCGACCCGTATACACGAATTGTAAATATAGAATCCATCAAGAGAACTGCGATCTACCATGACTTAATTACATGAAATTGCAGAAAATTTCATATGTTTTACAATGAAATATTAATACAATAGATACTAAACACAATTTCACCCCTAATTATATATTGTTATGCATTACCAATTTCGATCAATCCCTAATTACTCAGTACATGACGTGTATGGTCTAATAAAATCAATAGAAATGACAAAATATTATTTTTATTATTAATTAATAAAATGATTCTTAACTACTTTTGAAATTTTGAATTAATATTAATATTTATTATTATCGAATAAAAAAATTGATGCATGAGATTTATTATCAAGCACAAAATTAAAAATAAGTCTTATAAACTCTATTCAATAAAAAAAAAAAAAATAGTGATGCCTAATCATTATTATTATCAACCCATCACAAGGGTTTTAAAACATCCTTTTAATATAAAAAAGTGTTGGCGGTGTTGACTATTTGTACTTCAACAGGAGATGAATAGATACTACAATGTAATAGAGAAGAGACAGTAACTTTCAAAAAAATAATATTATTTTACTATAAATATAAGACATAAAAAAAAAACATTCTTTTACTATAAATATAAGACATAACAATGAGGTTGCTCTAAATATAAAAACCCGTTCCCCTTTTAGTCTTCACTCGATCGACCTCTAAACCGAGAACGATAAATGTCTTGTTCATATTTCTTTATTTTTAAAGAGTATTTAGTTTCCATTTCTCCCTTCATCATTCGATTTCCAAACCGCCAAGAATACCAAATGCCATCATATTCTTTTATTGAGTGTGTAGAATGTGAATTGGCATAAGATGATGATGACAAGTAGCGGTTCAACATGTTGTGCAAATGTGGGGGCAATGATTCACATATGGATTCAAACATGTATTCTCCTACTTTCTGCTTAAACATCTTCAACTGTTGAATCATCTTGCTCTCAATTTCTTGTGTTGCTATATGTTTTACACCCCACAAAACCTGTATATATATTGCCACAAGTATGTATGTATAAGCAAATTAAAGCAGAACAAACATCAATCCATATATATATATATATATATATATATATATATATATTTATTTATTGCCACAAGCTAAGAAAGAAAAAAGAATGGTGATAAGCGTAATGCTAGCATAGGCTGAGATTTTGACCTCTGCCATGATTGCAACTATTATGCCAATGTAACTATCTCCTGGACCAGTAACCTTTGTCTCGGGCCTGTAACATATATGAGTATAAAACGGAGTGAAGTGGCCGGATATAAAATATAAAATAATAATAATAATAATAATAATAATAATTGTTCTATGTAAGTACATATATACTCACTTGTCAATCATGGAACAAAGCAGTTTGTGGGCAGCTTTGGCTTCATCAAAATTACATTTTATTGGCAAATGGGAGAGCCAAAGTTGCATACACTGCATGCATATATGCATTCAACATTAATTTTATATATACATATGTCAATAATCACAATAATATACAAAGAAAATAATTTCACTTCTTGGTCGCCTAACTATTATTAAAATAAAATATCTAAAATAAATTTTTTTTAATTAGGTGCATGATAATTTGTATCAAGTCATGCCGTCCAATTTTCCCTCAATTATTAAAATAAAATTTGTAAAATACAATTTCCATACAATCCAAGCTAGCGCATGCATGCATACCTCGCCCAGGTTGATGTTGGGGAAAGAGTTAATCTCTTCAGAAAGAAAGAAACATAGTTTCCCATAAGCAGAAACAATCGCATCTCTGCCTATCCAGTGTTCTAGATCATCAAATGGGGCACCAGATACCATTATTGCTTCTAAGCTTGACAGTCCATCTGCAAATTATACAGGTAGTAGTTTAATTTGTTGAAGTATGTGTTCCATCTCAACTAAAAGCGTAAATTATACAAGTAGTAGTTTAATTTGTTGAAGCATGTGTTTCATCTCAACTAAAAGCCTAAACTGATAGTTGGATTGCACATTAATGGCTCAACAGACTAGACAGTCACTTATTCAATTCACAGTAAAAACAAACAAACAAACAAAGACATACACACTACCTACCTCGAAGATGATGCTTAAATGTTTCTCTATCAAACTCAACATATTTACCGATTGCACAGGCAGCCATCTGCAGATCAGATAGATATATGCATGGAATTGATGAAGAAATTAAACGTCAAGTATTATTAGAAGCGAGTAAACAGATCAAAACGTAACCTACCTGTTGAATGTGTGGATTTGAACGATCCTTGCAAGCTTCGAAGAAGAGTGGAATGTATTCTGCATACTTCCTTAACATATGTTCTCCGCCTTCCTTTGCAATGGCAGTCAAAATATTTGTCAAAGGCCGTTCTTCTTTCCCCAGAGAAAGTCGGCTCAGAACCGGCAGAATTGTCTCAGAATTGTCTTGCGCCATTGAGAGATGAGAGAGAGAGAAACCCTAACTGCAAATACCAGATGAGAGATGAGAGAGAGAGAAACCCTAGCTGCAAATACCAGATGGGAACGGTACGGTATTTTCTGTATATTAAACAATTGAAACATATATAATAGAATCTATTATCTATTATATATTATATATACAGAAGATAACAAGGAATAGTTCCAGATATAACACAACACAATTAGGATTAGGACTATAAATTGAGTCCCAATAGGGAAGCTAATTTAAGGCAAATTAATTATACTATAGATCAGAGTACATATTACATTGTGGGAGCTTCACATATTATGCACATTCAATTTAATTATTTTAAAATATATAGGCTCTATTTGATAAAAAAATTGGTCTATAAGTTAATTTTGACTTATTTGACCAATATTAATTGTTTGATTTAGTTAAAATATCAATATAAATTTTGGTTAATTAGCTTTTTGCAAATTCAAAAAGTTACTTCAAACAACTTTTTCAATTAGCTTTTTGAGAAAATAAATTATA